TTTTGTTCCGATCCTAACCATTTACCCGCGCTTCCGTATCCGCTAGCTCGCATGGCTTCTGTATCGGACACGTCGTCCCAGAAGCCCAAGTTGGAGGGCCTATAGCGCTCGTACAGGATGGCGATGTCATCTCTGTCGATGCGGTGAAGAACTCGATCGAACTCCACGTCCCCCCGGAAGAACTCGACCGGCGCAGGAAGGCGTGGACAGCACCGCCACTCAAGGCCACGCAAGGGACGCTCTACAAGTATGTCAAGACAGTAGAGGACGCCAGCCGTGGTTGCATAACGGATGCGTGAAGAGCAATCTGTCAAATCTCCCGTTAGTATCTCGCACACGCTGACGCCACAAAATCTGCGAATAGAGCGGGCGTAGGGTGTCCGCCTTGTGGAGATACGCTAGTCCCGAAACTGAGAAGTGCTCGGATTGTTGGTCAGCATTTTTAAGCACTATAGATCTGATGTCTGCTATCTACTGGTCAAAAAATTGCTTTACATAGTGAGATCCGATTGAACCGCTGAGGGAAATTTTTCCATATGCTCGGAACCATGGCGCTACCGCCGTCCTTAAGCGAATTTGACGAAGCTTAACCTAAATACTGTAACAATCAGCTGTGGTCGTTTTATGTATGCTGTCGCAAAGATTTTCCTGGCACGCTGTCTTGAAAGATAACATCTAAAGTGAAGTGGGACTTTAACATTATTTGAACCGGTATGATTCTTACTGCTACGAGCTTGTAATGAGAACTACCGATACAAGGGAACTGATGCTACGAGGTACAATCTGTGACCACTCTCCAATCAGTTTGAGGCTTGATGCTCTTGCAATCATCTAGTGTCAACTGTCAACTGTCGCAACCCAACCGCAACGATCAACCGCCTCTCGCAGTCGTCTTGACTTTCCGCTTCTTCTCCGCCTTCGGAATTTTGTGTTTCCGCTTCTCGCGCGCTTCTTCCTTCACAGCTTTTTTCCGCTCCTGAAAAGAAACGCGTAAGTCAGTCAGGGCATGCAAAAATAATCAGAGACTGGAGCGGGAGACAACAACCTACCTTCTTGGCATCCTTATCTTCGTGGCGATGCCCTCGCGGTCGCCGTTCCTCGAATTCGCCGTTCCCGTGTGAGGCGGACGACCCGCTCTCGTCGGGCTCGTCTGCCGCATCGTCCGACGCGCTACCGCTACTCGCATCCGCGTCCTCATCATCCGCACCGTCGCCGGCCCCCTCCCGGGCGAAACGCACGCTCAGACTTCCCCTCGCCGCCGCCCACCCTCCATCTGCCCCTTCTTGCTCCCGTAGGTGCGTCTGATCGTCTCGGTGCTCCACACCGTCCGCGCCTGGGTTTTCCCGCGGGCCGACGACGCCGATCATGTCTTTGTAAATCAGATCCCCGCCCTCACCCCGGCTCAGCGCGCCTACGTCGCGCTCGGGGTCGTACACCTCGTTCAACGTCCGGGGGATGTACGACCGCAGGAACACCGAGTCCTCATGTGCCGCATTGACCGACGCTGCTGACGCGCCTAGGACAGGCGGAGCAGACTCGTCGCCCTCGACCACTACCTCTGTCTGCGGGAGGGTGTCGGGCTCCTCCATCCACTGACGGAGGACGGCCTCTTCATCAGCGAGCTTGCTTGAAGGCTCCGCAGAGGACGGAGTGACGGACGGAGCAAGCGCATCGCGAGTCACGAACTCGAAGGCGCGACGCAGTCCGACACAGGGGACTCCGCGCTTCTCAAAAAAATCTTCGACGTTGCGCAGGTCAGAACGGAGGAAGTCAAACGCGTGCGGGTGATCATGCTCGACGGACTGCGAGACATCGATGATGTAGAGGTGCCCGCGTGCTTCGGTCTCGCCTTCCGATCTTGTCTCCGCCGCAGCTGTTTCCTGCGTCTGGGCGGCCGGAGGAGGAGCATCTATTTCAGGATGGGAGAAGGCAGGCGCACTACCTTTGATATAATAAAGAACATTGTATTCGGACAGATCGGCATGTACGAGTTTGCATTCCAGGAATATTCGGCGCACCATTCGCAGGAGTTCGACGTACAGGTCCGGGAGCGCGGTATTGGGTATGTCAGCGTCCTTGAGGCGCGGGGAAGCCCTGGAACCAACCTTGATGTCAGCAGTCCTATAATGCAACAGGGACAGCCCGTCTACTGACCAGCCTTCTTGATCGCCAACGAATCCCATCACGAGAACGTTTTCTCGAACTTCCACAGGCTCTGGACAAGGTATCCCTGCCGCACGGAGACGTTTGAGATTCCTCATCTCTTTTTCAGCCCACAGCCGGACCATCTTTCGAGGATTATGCCGACTACAAATGAGATTTAGCTACTAGGACCGTGTTAATGGTGCGGAGGGCATGCCTGTAACCTCGTCTGAATCGAAACTCGCCTGTGACATATTTATCGCGGTCTTTGAACACGAGAATTGATGTTTTGTATATTTTCAGAGCGAGGTGTCTCCTATCTGGTGTCAAAGCATGATAGACGTTCGCCTGAAAGATTCAGAAATGTCCTATTATTTTTCACATAATTGTCGCCGCGTCTGAAAAGACTACAGGATGGGAGAGAATCTACGTACTTCCTTGCCAGTACTGACGCACCCATTTACTTCGAAAAGCAAGCCTCTTCCGATCATCTTGAACAAAATAATCCTTGTCCTCGGATCGAGCACCTGCTCGCTCGTCGCCCGGTCGCTCTTGTCTTTCATGTTCGCGGTCGCGGAGGGGCCCTTTCGATTGACGCCAACCCCGAGTACGTACGGCATGTCGATATTCCGGATGCGTGACGAGTACTTCGACAAGGCCTGCAGCTGATCAGCAGTTTTGTCGTTCGCACGGAGAACCCCTGAGGCAGCGGCCTTCGCTCCCCCCGCCCGCGTTTGGCGTGGGCGATTAACTGCGGGGAGCGAGGCGACTGCCGAACGGGTATCGATGGAAGACACGACGCCGCGCGCTGCGCCTGTGCGTACGGCGACGTGCTGTCTAATGCGGTTGTATTGCTTGGTGAAGTCTGCAAATGCAATTCGGGCAGGCAGAGAGAGCGCACCGCGGGTCAGACTCACCTCGTTCCGCGATCTCCCAGTCTTCGTCTTCAGCGCGGAGGGTATGGAAAGCCGCAGCCTCCATGTCGTCTTCCTCCTGCTCAAAGGCGTCCACATCGTCAAGCTCGTCACCAGACTCGGACGACCAATCGAGTAAACCGTCTTGATCAATATAGGCATGTCCCGACCGAGGGTTGGCAGGAGCTGGAGTGCCATCCTCGGGCGCATCGTCGAATTGGCCATCCATGATGATTTCTCCTTGAGCCTGGGTGTGTGAAGACATTGGATCGGAAGCGAGCGGTATGGAAAAAGACGCTAATTGGGGTGGGGAAGAGTCTCAAGTAAAGATCAACGGACCGTTCCTACTCGGCAGAAATTTAGCGAGCCCGCGATATGATTGGGCGATGAGTCGCGGGCGTCTGAACAGCGCGAGTCCGCGAACCCTCTACTGCCAGCGCTTCGGCGGCTCGTTTGTCACAGACGGCGACCATTCCAGATGTCTCTCCGGCAAAGGATACCTTTTCGATTCTCCGAGAACGACCAATCTGATGACCACATATTAGATGAGCAAGGTGCATACCCTTTATGCCGATCCATGACACTGGCAGCTTCATATGTTTTGGTTTGCAGAGCAGGAGGAGCTCATCGAGAGCCTCCGGAGGCAGAGTCGCACAGTTGCAAGCCAATACGTTATCTACGCAGAGGTTATCCTTGGACTTTCATGTCTCCTGTGAGCTCTTTTCTTGACTCCGCCATTGTAGCATTAACGTTTTTCAGGCATGTCATATTCCTGTTCAAACAAGACAAAGAGTCACCGCTGTATGCCTTGTTGCCGACTATTGTACCTACTGCGCCACTGCCGCTTGCTGCGCTCTTCGCGGTACTGCACATTGCACTTCACCTCAACCTCGGCCTATTGCTTCTGCCATACGAAAGTTCTATAATCCGCTGGCTTGCTTCACTCCCGCCGCCTTTGAGTGCACTTCCTATTGTACTTTCGCATCCGATTTGTCTTGTAGCTCCTGCACTGGCGCCTGCGCTGTCTCTGCTGCTCTTGCGTGGTTGGCCGGAGACCGTGTGGTGGAGTGTTGCAGGTGCTATGACATGGTTTGTGTATACCATCCGACAGTGGCCGGAACAGAGCGAAGACGATATTCGCCAATTGGAGAACATGCGCTATGACGCTCGTGGTGTATGACTATAGTGGTCATCAGCAGTGTGTAACTGAATTAATGCTCGTACTCTAGGTGAGCCCAGATGCTATTTCCTCCAATCTTGTTGTCAAGTCTGTCAGACGTTTGTACCGCCTTAGGCAAGATTTAATCCCTCGTGTATGCATTCTTTCTCCCGAGTATTTTCAGCTGGACCTGAACGCTTCATTATCAAGTATTCGTGCACTATGCATGGCGACCAGCTGGGAACCTCACACAAGATACAACTGACTTCTGCTACAGATCTCTACCATGCTTCTACAGATTAGCTATCTTTAACATATGTCACAACCCACTGCCTAGTGGTGTACAATCTCTAAAATACAGTCGCGTGTGACGATCAGCATCGAAGGAAGAAGAGGCATACAGTACTGTGATCCCATATCCACGTTTGGATATGCAATGATGATACGAAGAAATAATCCCTACGGTAGAAACCCAGTCGGGGATCAACAATTAGGTAACCGATAAAGTACAACGACTGAGGCATTGCATTCAACTTCCCTCCCACACCTCTCTCCACGCCTGGCCACTACGCGTATACACCTCGCCCATTGCACGCCAAAAACCCGCAATACTGGAGACGCCAAACTCGATCGGAATGCCCCTTGGGAGCGCCAGCCCAGCGCGTAAAGAGCGTAGGGCGGCGCCAGACGGATCGGTCGTGGTCGAGAGCAGTCTCTCGAGTCCGTGCACATCAGCACAGGGATCGGGGATATTCATGTATTTGGTAGCAACATCAATGTCACTGTCCTCGTTCATATCGCTAAGATCGGATTCGGACTGAAACGAGTGCGACGGGAATTGTACCATGCAGCCACTCGCAGGCAGGCTAAGACTAGTAGCGATGTGTCCTGGGAAGAGTACCGAATCCTCGTCTGTGGACGAGCTCTGAGTCAGGAGGCGGAGTGCAGGATCGTCCAGGTCGAGAGAGAACAAAGACGCGAAGAATGTGAGAAGTGGGAGACGGATCCGAGGCTGCGGTGACGCGGGGCGTACCACGTCGTGTAATGAGACGGATGAGGAGCGTAGGGAACCAAGGCTAGCGTTCGTCGACCGGGAGAGTGCGCGCGTTCGCAGAGGCGTGAGGCGGGGCCGTGGAGGCCCGTGGTCCATCAAGCGTGCGGCGCGTTGGGAGGACGATGGGATTGCGCGTGGGGCAAATTGGCTAGAACGCAGGGCGATATCCCAGCGGCTTACCCGTTCTACTTCCTCTTCGAGAATCCAAGATTCGGAGCTCTGTCCATCAGAGTAATCGCGTGTCCAGTCCCATACCTCGTCTACGTCCGGATCGTCTTCGATTAGATTGGGGGAAATGGGGGACGGTGGCACGATGTGATTGGAAGATACTTCCGCACCTGCTGAACTTATACTAGCAGTGGGATTGCTTCGGGCTCGGGAGAAGAAACGAGAGTTGTCATGTTGTGCTCGTGAGCGAGAACGCGAGCGAGAGGAGGATGAGGAAAACGAGGACGGGCTGAAACTGGAGGAGGGCGAGAATAAAGAGGACGCGGGACTGGGAGGCACGGAAGAGGGGTTAGGAAAAACGTAAATGGAATGATCTCCAAAGTCGAGGTCAATGGTCGTGAGCTCTTCTCGGTCGCGCTGCTGGTCTGTCCGATGAGACGAGGATCGTCTGGGCGCCGCTACCTGTGGTCGAGGAGGAGTGTAGTAAGCTGCCATTGTCCGGACGCCACTACAAACGGGTAAGGTCTTTGAGCGAATGTATGCGGGAATTTATGCTGAGGTACGCTGAAATTGTATCATAAATGTCGTAACACCTGGGCTAGCTTGGAGTCTAGGTAAAGTTGGTCACATTGGATGCCTTGCGGATAACTGACCTCGTCGCGCAGAGGCCGCACTAGAGGTAGCTCAAGTCCTCGGCTGGTGCCGTCCGGGCAGTGATCTTATGCGATGCTGACGGCCCAGGAGGAACTGGAAGGAATCTAGACAGTGTGCGACGCACGAGAGGGAGAATATAACGTCAATGTCGAGGTCCGCCTCGACGGCGGTGGTGGCGGCGAGAGGCACCAGGGCGCTTACTGCATCGTTGCTCCTAGCCTTCCTTCGTCCGCGCTGTCGCCGCCCGTTCTCATACTTGCTGTGCTTTTTGGCGCCATGATTCCGTTCAACATGCAAGATTTATCATTCTCAAGCTCGCCGTGCCTTTGATTCTTCTGATGCACAGATAAACGTCCCATGTCTGTGGACGATCCCTCTTCTTCGGCCGGCAGGCTATGTCCAAGCTTTTCAGACATGTTCAAGGTCTTCTCAAGGTGAGGATATGCGCACTTGCACTAACAAAATATGCGTATAACTTCGTCGATGCTGCTGCTTTCCAGATAGCATGCCAAGGGTCGGCCCGAGGCATGATTCACTAACAGACTGATCGCACTGCTATTATACCAGTGTCTATCCCCGGTCGCCGTTCAGGCACTTTTGAGACTCTGCTTGTGGTACTTGGACAGCCCGTCTGGGAGAGGAAACGTCTCGGACCTAATATATATACCTATAAGCACGTATAACCCTCGTGACGTGAAATCTTTATGTGGTACAGTATGTGGTCTCCGGGTCTGTGCGTCGCTCCAAGTCAACCTGTTGTTCGCTGTTGGTCATTTAGTCGGCTTTTTGCAGCCGTCGTTGGATCATTCTCCGACCAACTTCGGGATATAAACACTCTACACTTAGAACCGTGCGTGACTACATGTGCGTCTCTGCCTCCGGTCGAACACGTTGTGTACATGGAACAGCCACCTTGTCGTCGCCCGGGAGGCGTGTGGTTTGGTAAGTCACAATTCAATGTTGCTTGATTGTCATTAAGTTGGCGTAGTTGGTCTCATTGCAGCGCGCATTGAGCCGAATATGTATGTGCGCGGAATCACCGCTTGCCTAGCACCCTAAGTCGTTAACGAATCGAGCTTGTGGTGTATCCCATTATCTTCGTCCTGTGCTTTACTTCGGTTCGGCAGCCATTATCATCCCCTAAAGATGCCAGGAGGTGACTTACGCCATCGGCCCACCCTCATCCGTCCCTCCACTTCAACCGCGTGTTCGGCGACACTTAGTTCTCCTCGAACTTTCTCCGCCGCGCAGCTGCAGGCCAGCCGTGTTTTGTTCTGCGTGTTGACTGTTGTACGAGCGTCGCGTGTTCGCTCGGTGTCCCGAGACAGCGCTCACCGGTAGTCTGTTGTCCTAGACGAACATCCCACTCGTTCTCAATTGTTCTCAATGATATTCCATGATAAGCGTATGTACAGTCTTTCATCTGTTGGTTACGTGAACTCACCTCTAAGTATGCCAGGTGTCACTGCCCAGCAGCTTGGTCCTCATGCCTCTTCCGACCTCAATGTCTGGCTTTTCTTCCAGGTTGCCGCCAACCATATACTCCTTCCAGTTCTCGTCCTCACGTTTCTCTTCTCTCGTGCTGTTGCTCGGCACCTGGCCATAATCAATGTTTGCTGCACATGGATTGTCTCTGGCGTCATATGTTCCCTGCTGTATGTATCATTCCTGACTGCTATCTGACGTTCCAGTTGTCCTTCTGCTCATATTTTGCTCCCATTATTCGTAGATTATATGTCGGTAGCGAGAAGGGTGCCCAACCAAATCAGGGGCTATGTGTCGCTCAGTCCGCCCTTGTTAGTGGTGTTATGCCAATGTGAGAATACAGGAGGGGCTGTTTATGGCTTTGCTGATCGTCTAAATTCTCAAGGACCTCCGTCGCATGTCTCCTTCTGGCATTCTATATATGGGCATCTTGTAGACATACACGGCCAAGTTCTGAACCGACGAAGCCTGGACGTATCGGATTGAAAACAGTCTTGGTAAGTCACAGTGTTGACAGCACATATGGGATACGTTGATCATCATTACTGCATATAGCTGGTCTTTCCACCGTACGTCCTACTGGGAGTGTTTGCGGCGATTGGCGCAAACGTATGTCATTGCTTGCTACACCAACGATTTGAGGTTTTATCGTTGACTGTGTCCCGTGTATGGTACTTCAGCTCAGTGCTCAAGATCCGGATCAAGTCAGCAGAGAATATCGATTCTTTTATTGCTCTTTAGATCTGGCACCTTTGTACGTATTGCCTCTGAATCCCGCCTGGATCACAAAATTAAAAAGCATCAATAGTGCGTCCGCAATTGCTATATTTTCCGCTTCAGTCTGTGTCATCGCAACCATACTCTATGGTATGTAATATGCTGCACTTTCCAAGTACAACCACTCATTTTTTGGTGTACCAATACAGCCCACGTACTGCTGGGAATATGGCACAATAGACAAGCAACGCGTGTAGTATTCCCAACGCAGAGTCATGATCTTCAGCTCATAATTCGTGTTGGGCTCTTTGTTTTATATATGCTTGCTGCATCTGTGTAAGTTGCCAATATCAGCTGATGTCTCGTTGCTCATTGGGATGTCAAGAGTTAATTTGATGTTGCTCGGCAACCCAGCTAGCGCCTTTCCTGATATATTCATTGCGTCGGGTGAGTGTCGAGTTTCATTGTACTTGGTGCATCAACATCTGAACAACCTAATTGGTGTAGTTGGTATGGCAGTTTTTGTCATCTTTGCTAGCCAGCCAGTATGTTTCTATTGTGCTTGTACCATGGTGCGACTGTCGCTTACAGCTCCTCTTTCTTTTCTTCCAGGATGTTGTTCGTGTATGGTGGTTCCGTCGACGTCGCAACATGCGGCAACGTCCACATATGGCTAGTCCGCCACTCCCTCGTACACCACTACCGTCCTTCGACATGGACCTCATGCGCCGCACCGAAAGCGAAGTTAGCGAAAAAGCGCGCCTTGAGGCGCTGCACGCATACTACTCCGCTCGAGTACGCGGGGAGGGCGTGAACGTGGAGATTATCGATCGCCCGGAGAATGCTTTCATTCCCAACAGGCATCGTCAGTCCAGGTCGAGTGTGTCGCGCAAAGCATCGACGGAGTCTCTCATGAGCAGTGGTGGACTTATTTGATAGAATTCTGTTTACTGGGTCAGGTGCGTCTGCATATCAAAGTTATAATGCCGCCCGCAGGTCATGGACGGAAGTCTTCGTTGGGCTGTTGAGCTTCTAATCAGGTATTGCCATGGACTACTGTGACATAGTTCGTGCATATGTTGGGTACGAATCATAATGGATATATCATTTTCTCATCCTGCATCGGCCACGCTCCATATGTGCACTCAGGTAAATGCGACAGTTAATGTCTATTCCAACCTCATCTCTGGGATCGAGGCAGGCTCCTAGAATCTGCCAAGGAGTGTCCTCATTCCAATCCCACTTACGGTTTTCCGAATGTGCTAAGTGCTGGTTCATGTGCTATATGATCCTGAAAAGAAATGAACGAGTGAAAGAGAATGCTCAAGTTGCCTCCTGATATCCAAGGGGTGAGCTGACGGTTGTGCCTGCTAATAGTATGCACCTCTACGTCACGTACATGGAAGCTATTCATCAATGGCCATTGTCCAGCTTCCCATAGCCTGATTTTCAATGTAGCCAGTTGCACTGCTGATAATACCGTAATGGCAGCCTGAAGGTAATTGAGGTTTTACTGCCAGTACCTCAGCATTAGATGGCTTGATGGCCAGAAGGGTCTGTTTGCAGCGGGAGACTCAGCAGGTGAGCATATCACTCCCTTTTTTCATACATGTGGGGATCATAATATCCGGACAAATTCATATTCAGTATATCAATACGATAGGATATAAACATATTGTTGAGCGCAGGAATGATGATAGGATGTAGTCGATAGATACCCCTCTTCGGTAGAGGATCGCTGTAGCATATCCAACAATTTGACATGGTATGTGTGATTATGCAGCGCAAGATGACGAGCGCATGATGAAATGAGAATGTGGATGCCGCAGACCGACCAGGCGGCATCGTCTACTCACCCAAATCGGTGACGCTCAATGATAGATTTCTGTCTGGAATCCCTCATTACTCGCCTACATTCGTCGAATTAATATTCGTATGTGGATGAGCATTTGGCTAAGCTCACCAATAGTGCTCCATGACATTGCTTTGACCGAGCTTCCGAAGGAAGTTCTCGTCATGTGTAATGATCACGAGTTGGAAGCTTGAATTGCCCTTGCGCTCGTTGATGATACTATTGACGACGTCAGAATTCACCACTTAGTAGTACGACTAACGCTTACTCTACTAGACTGGCTGCGAGTGCATCAATATTTTCTGTGTCAAGGGCATTCGTGGGTTCGTCAAGAGCCAGAATACCGCAATTTTGCCCAAACGAGTCTGCGAGAGCGAGACGAATAATGATGGAGGCTAACATCTTCTGTCCGGCAGAACAACGTCCTCGCATGTCCATTTCCACATTGTCTTTGGTCATGACAACCTAACATATATATTATGAGACCTGATTTCAAGCTGAAGTAATGACTCACGAGTACTTACTCGATAGTTGTACGAACGCTTCGTTGCACCACCCTCACTGTCTGAACTGATCTTGATGCCATCAATGTCTATATGCTCAGCTTGAGCACCATGAACTCGCAGGCTGTATGATCAAATACATACCAGTGCCCTGATAAGTTTTGTTCCACAGGTGCCGCATAGTATCATTAACTTCTTCCATCTTAAGAGAATGATACTTCATGATGGCACTATTAAGCGCATCAGCAGCAAGCAGCGAATTGATGCAAATTGCGACTCACTTGTCCAAGGCCTTCGCGTACTTCTCTAAGTCGTTGTTGGCCATGTCAGACATCTAGCCAAGAAGTCAGTGGATGTCCATGCTCCGATCGTAAACCTGTTCGTACCTTGACTTTGATGAGCTGATCTCGATACTTCTTTCCGATGTCTTTGTAATCCTTCATGTCGGTTTGCAGAGTCTTCACTTGAGCTTGCAGTGAGCTGAGTTCACCACCAATATGTGCATACTAGGAAAGTGGGTCAAGACAAGATAAAAATGAAAAGCTAGGTGGTCTACCTTGCTCTGAATGTGCGTTTCTCTCTGCTTCTCGACATTATACTTCTCTTCGAATATCCTCTTTGCTTTAGCGGCCTCTTCTAGATCAATCAAATCAATCTCGTCTTGTGTTGCGGCAATATCTTGTCGAAGCCGGCGGATCCGCAGATTTTCGCGAAGGTTGGCTACAGATGCACCACTTTCACTGATCTCTTTGTCGATAAGGTGAATTGTGCTGCGAATATCCTCCAACTGGAGGCCAAGTCTCTGAATCTCAGTTTCATGCTCCTCGATCTTCTCGTTGCATTCTTTGAGACGACGCGCTTTCCTTTCGCGTACATACCTGGATGATGTAAGAAGGGCTAAGTCTGAGAAGCTGTTTATACAACAGAACAGTGACACACTTCTCGATGGTCTTGTTGATACTTTCTAGCTTGTCTGCGCTCATGTTGAGATCTTGAGAAGCTCGCTGCGCCCGGGAGATCTTTGCATTCAATTCTCGTTGCGCCTCATGATACTGTTGTTCAAGCTTCTCGATAGGGCCCTGCGCATCCGCTATTTTGACGTCCAAGTCCTAACGCTATGTATGAGACGCCATGCATAGCCCTGGGAATTCGAAACTTACTTTAAGCTGATTGGTGAAACTGGCTATATCTGACCTGAGCTCCTTGATACGTCCTTCAAGAGCAGTCTTTTCGCGAATCTGACTCTTCAGTTCACTTTCTCGTACGCGCATAGTACCGAGCTCCGTATCATGATTGCGAAGAGCGTTCATGAGACGATCCCGCTCAGTCATCAGGTTCTGCTTCTCGCGGTCGTTTGCTCGCCTAGCTATGTCAGAATACACATTGACCCCGAAAAAAAATCAAGACGCACATCTCCGCCGACAGCTCATCGAGCTCCTGCTGCAGATCATCGGCCGTCTTTGTAGAGCCTGTTGCAGAAAGCTCAGACTCGAGGCTAGAAATCTCTCGCTTGAGTCGTTCGATGTCTTTCTGCGTTTGTGAAACCGAAGTGGCGTGTTGACGCATTGCAGATATCTCCTTGATCTCCTTCTTGACCTCATTCAGTTTCCGCAGGGCCTATGCAAATGACGTTGCAAATTACAGGTCTAAATAGTTCGTAGCATAGATGATCGTACCTCTTCGGCTCTCTCCGTCAAAATAGGCATCTCATCATCGTGCTCCTTGATTTGCGCCTCCAGTTTAGGCGCCTCAATCTTCTGAATAGTTTCCCGCGTGTTGTCGTCCATCTGCAATCCTTGCAATTGCTTAAGTGCGTCCTCCCACATAGCCAGTTCGCTCTTAGTCTCTTTGATGGCTGCAGGTGTCGATTTCTTGATGTTCTCCTTCACCTAGCAAGAGGTCAGATGCAAGCAATTTACGGCCACAGACAACTCACATTTTTGTCATATACGTCAAGTTCCAGGTCGCTCATGTTCCTCGTGCATAATGGGCAGCATTTTCTGCCTTTGCCTACTTGAAGAAGACGCAGATAGAGATCCTGAGCACCCGCCGTTTTGCCTAGTTCCCTAGATTGATAGCAGATCAGCTCGCAATCCACAATTGTTCGGCCAGTACATACTCTTTGCGGGTGTCAATTTCATAGTCCGCTTCCTTTAGGCCACTCTCTATGGAACTGAAGCCGGCATCCTTCAATTCGAAAGCGATCTTCTTATCCAGCCCTTGAAATGGTAGGTCAAAATCATGCATGTCATGTGGATACAAGTATGATGCTTACGCTGGATTTCCTTCTGTTTCGTGGAAAGCTGGGCTTTCAAGTTAGACAGGTTTGCTTCGGCTGCCTGAAGATTCTTGCTAGCAATATTTGTTTCGTTCTCTAGATCCGTATGCTCTCTCTCCTTCTCGCTGCACAGGATGGATCAGCACTAGAAGGTTCAGCAAAAATAATCAGAACCTACATGGCAACTCGCTCAACTTCACGCTCCATAGTGTCAGGATGAGCATCGATCCCAACCAGCTTGCGGAACTTGGAATTATTGATCTCGAGCCTGACAAGAGTGCAGATTATGGTCACTTAGATATATAGGAGAAGATACGACAATCTCACGTGTTATTCAAGTCGCTCGACTTGCTCTTCAGCTCAGCTCTCTTGAGATCCAGTCTTGCCCTAGCATCCGCCTGCAAACTCAACGTCCTGATCTCTGCGGTCAATTCGTCACGCTTCATTTCCATACTTCGTCCCTTGGCGTTCGCATCTGACAGTCGTTGATCAAAATTTCCTGCTTTGATATCAGTCTTGGACTTCTCCACTCGGCGAGACTTCTCGTCCATATCAGCCTGTAAGGCACGGAGCTGTGAGGTCAAGGCTTCAGCCTGATCAACCTCATTCTCGGCTTCAGAAACACGAGCTGTTGAAGTCGCCTGATAGTTAGATTATGCACCACAATATGAGCGGATTTGCATAATTAAAAATCAAGTCACGTACAATGCGCTCTCTGAAAGCTGACTTCTGCTGTTTGTGTCCCTCGAGCTCAGTGTGAAGCCGCATTGCTTTCGTGTTGTACTCTTCGCTCTTCGCATTATGCTCATCCTATATCGGAGCTTCAGATAACGGTGAAGTTGGCAATTAGACAGGCTCGAAACTTACCTGCAGCTTATCAGTTTCGGTATTCTGTCTTCGGCGAAGATCTTCTAGCTTGGTAATGAATTCAAGAACCTTGTCTCTTTCAAGTGGAGTCTGGTCAAATCCTTGGATCTGGTATTTGGCGCAAATTTGCTTAATGGTCGCTTCGCGATCCTCAATGAGTTGTTTGTGTGCCTTGGGAGTACATCAGCATTGTTGAATTTCCTATGTTAATATGGAGAATACGTGCATTCTCCTCAGCTTGCAAACGACCTTGTTCACTCAACAGGGTAACGTGCGCCTTGCGTTCATCAGCTAACATTTCGTCCACCTCTTGCTCTTTACTCATTCCCATGGATCGTTTCTGTTTCTGGCGCTGCATATGGTCGTCGAAATTCCTTAGGCGGTCCGTGAGCTCCTGATCGGTTCCTGAAAACGTATAATTAATCCGACGAGGCTATCGCTAACGTTACGTGTCTGCACACCGTCCAGCTCCTTCACGCTCTCTCGAGCGGTATCCAATTCCTCTTGGTACCGAGCTTTCTTCTCATTCAAAGTATCAACCTTGATGTAGATCTCACGAAACTTTGTAGCAGATTCGTAAAACCGGGCATTAGCCTTGACAAGTTCTTCGTACTGCTTCTGCAACTGGCCGTGCTCCATTTCTTTGGATGCGATTGTTCCAGTTAGCTCAGACATGCGAGTTTTGAGCTTATCAGCGTGCCCTTTTTCTTTGGACAAAGATTCCAGTCGCTCTTTCTCGGCTTTAAGGTCCGCCATCCTATCTTTCCGAAGAGCTTTGATATTATCTAAAGCTTTAGTATATCTAGAAGTAGTGTAAGATCAGAAGTATGAGAGGAAATACAGTACGAACTTCGTTGCTTCAAATATGTCGTCAAATTTCTTTTTCAGAATTGATGGCTCAGCTAGAGGCCAGTAAGAATCCTCCTGGTGGCAGAAGATGACATTTTCTAGAACCGCCTTCGATACACCGAGAAGATGAGGTATCTCCGCGTCCATCTCTGCACATTTCGTGGAAATTGCTGCTCGCTATTCATTGCGTCAGGCCTATGTCGAAGAAGCGGAAATCAGGCATACCTTGCCATTCTTCTCATCTGCCAAGGCTAATATGCTCTCCAATGTCTTCATTGTCAATGCACCGTTCTTCTTCATGGTGACAGACAGATTTCGCACAGCCAGCATACGGGTGTGGTTCGCGGCGTAGAACCTCAGCTTCACCTGCGCCTTGACCTCCTTCTCATTCGCCATTTTGGGATCGTGCACGAAGGCTCCTCCCCTGGTGTTCGGCGGTTGATCCCCAGTTGTCGCATACTTCAAGCATTCAATTATAGTGGTTTTCCCGCTACCATTGTGGCCAACAATAACCGTGACTGGGTTAAAGAACTCGATAACAGCAATCTGCTTGTCATCGAAGGAACGAATACCACGAATGGCCAGCTTGTCGAGACTAGCCATTATTTTTGGGAAATACGATGCACTATTTAATCGTAGACCAATGTACCAGACAAGTCAGAACTCGACGCTCGGAATTGTGGTTATGAAAGGAGGCGCGCGAGTGGCTCTTGTCACGGTCGCGAGTAGGAACGCGGTGACGCGACGCGCTTGTATCATGTGATGCTGCGAGAGTGTTTAGCCAAGCCTTACCTACTAGAGCTTGTCTTTTGCTGAGCCGGCCCGCGAGGTTCGAGCTATACCGCAACCACACTTTCGATAATGCAAGCAATGTCCTACTCGGCCTTTGATGACAGTCCCGGATGGGGAGTACTTGAAGCCGATCCTTCTAGTAGTGGCGATATCATTCAAGATGCGATCCGGAAAGATCAGCTAGTCAAGTATGTCCGATACTCCATTTTACAAAACTTAGCTAACCCAACGTATTAGGGAGATAGTTTCAGCACAGGAGAATCTCCGAGGTCAGGCTCATATATGTGCGCGCTCGGAATTTTGACGGAGACCTATGCTTGCAGCCCTGCTTGAACGAGTCAAGGGCGTTCAGGGAGACGTCGACAAGATCTCATCGGAGAACGAGACCTTGCAAATGTATATCGATAATTTAACAATGCAAATGGCAAAACGACGCTAAGCATCATTTGAGTTGTAAGTCTAGAATTTGTCATTGGTGATCTTAAGACTCGGGTCGGGTCAAAGCATGGTCTAGTATCTCCCACACATCCTTCGGGATCGTCGGTATTGCCCAGAGCTTTTGTATACTCTGGAGTCTCTGAGGACTGAAAGTCGTCCATGCTATTGATCCAGCGCGGAGGACGTCCCAGAGCTGATATATGTTCTGCATCTGGACGTGTAGGCACCAACGTGCTGTTGCTGACAGCCTGGACGCGGGACAGGAGATGTATCATGTTCTCGTGTGTGGATGCTCAGACTTCATAGATGTCGCACAGCAACAGGACTGTGCAATCAGTACGATGTTTTTTCTCACAGTATATTAATTTATGTACGACCTGCTCTAACCCTGCGAGTACAAAATTTCTGCATTGTGCACTGGCAGTCTTCGAAATGGCAACAGTTCCTTATGACCCTTCAAGCTGTACATTTATATTCCACTCGTATACACCGCAAGGACACCAGCGATTGATAAGTATGACTGAAATACGGGACGACTCACTGCCAAACCTAGTGGTCTGAGTGACGAAAGTAGTAGGATCCAGAAGAATCAGCGATCGCGTCGTGTAACGTGACAAGCGCGTTGGTGACGCGTCCTCGGGGATTTGATCACCTTGCACTCGGTTCATCGCCTCAGCTGAGGTTTCCGAGCGTGACCTGCAAACATGACAGAGCCTCGTATTGCCTTCAAAGCTGGCCGTTGTTTCCGCCGGGGAGGGACAAATTTTATCGACGCAAATCCCACTAAAGGTGCTATCATCTTGCTGAACGGAGAGGACGGGCTTCTGCATTTCATTTGGAAGAACAGAGTCACGAACGATGTGGAGGAGGTGGGTGAAGGGTTCTGTTTTTGAATGATATCTACACAGCTTACCATGGGGAATTTAAGGATCTCATCCTCTTCCCTTCCGATGCAACCTTCAACAAGGTAGAACAGTCAGCGTGGGGCCGAACATATGTCCTCAAGTTCTCCTCGTCCAACCAACGACACTTCGTACGTACTTATTAATTTGATGGTGATCTTCATTTTAATATAAGAAGTAGTTCTGGATGCAGGTGACAGACTATGCTTGTGCTAATCTGGCGTAGACTGAACTGTGGCGAACAGGATGCAGATTCGAGTAGAGATGCGGAGTTTGTCAGTAACGTGAACAGGCTCTTGGTCGACCCGCAAACTATTCCCATCTGGTGGGCGCCTGGCTACAACCCGAACCAAGGTGCTGAAGCATCGACATCGTCGGCGTCGGCTGCTGCACCTGCTGCACCTTCCGCACCTGCGACCTCGTAGGCTCTATCACTCTTGCGTAGTAGACACTACTGATATGGCTGCCAATGTTCATGTAGATCACAGCCGGCCGTCGGGGTACCGCACCAG